TGAAGAGGATGAGTCGGATCCCGAAGATCTCACACAGACCCTTACACCTTCGTCTTATTCACGGCCAAAGGTTCGGAAGGGGTCCCGAGTGCGCAAACCTAGGGATCCCTTTACTCCATCGTAGTTAGTTTGTGTTAGTTTATGTTAATTTATGTTTGAATGAAAAACGGATTGTTTTGTATGTATAAACTTTATTTTGACCTTTTTGGTATGTAGTGTTTTTTTAATACATTATTGCGGTTCATCGTTTTTTATATTATGTTGGATTATTATTTGGTGAATTGATTGGTTCGATTGGTATTAGTTGGTTGAGCAGGTTTTTTTGGTTGTGATTGGTTGAACAAGTTTATTTCGTATGACATATTGAACAAGTTCCGATTTATTTCGTTTAAAAAATAAATGCCATTTTTTTTCCTACAGATTAAAACGTATTTAAAGAATACGTTTGATTTATTTTATTATGAAACCGTATTCCGGGAATACGGTTTATATTCAAATTGAATTAGGGCAAAATTGATTTTAGGGCAAAATTGATTTCTTTAACACAACGTATTATCCAAATACGTTTTGTGTTATTTTAGTCTAAAACCGTATTCCTGTAATACGGTATATATTCAAATTGAATTAGGGCAAAATTGAATTTCGGGGAAAATTAATTTTTTCAATGCAAACGTATTATCCAAATACGTTTTGATTTATTTTACTCTAAAACCGTATCCCGGGAATACGTTTTATTTTCAAATTGAATTAGGGAAAAATTGAATTTAAGGCAAAATTGATTTTTCGACGCAAACGTATTATCCAAATACGTTTTACTATTCAAAATATTTTTTACGAAAATTTTTTATTTTTAAAAACTATAAAATTATTTTTATTTTAAAAACGCATTTATAGAATTCGCTTTATAATTAAAAAATTTATTTAATTTTTTTTTATTATAAAACGTATTCGTATTACACGGTTTCAACTAAAACGTATTCATGTTTTGCGTTTGAACTTAATTTAATTATGTTAATTATGTTTTTTTCTTAATACGTATTATAATAATACGTTTTCTTTATGTGAACGTATTGTACGAATACGTTTTATAAATAAAAGCATTTGAAAACGTATTGTCGGAATACGTAGTTTTGATTTTTTTCCACTCCTTTTTTTTGTTTTTGTTTTTGTCCACTTTTTTTTTTTT